GGCGGGTACCGGTGCTGAGCCCATCCCCTGGGCCGGAGCCGTGGGTGGGATCCAGCCCGCAGGGACTCCCACCCCCCAGGAGCACCCCAACTTGCCCCCCGCCCGACTGGGGGGTCTGGGCTGGGTGCCGGCCAGGGCAGCACGTGAGGGTTTCTTTGCTCCCGTGGTTTTTGCAAGAAGGGGCTGGGAAGCGGCAGAGCCCCTCGGGGCTGGGAGCCAAGAGCCGACGGCTTCTCCATCGTCCACTTTTTGGCCAAAATCAACCAAATTTCCCCCAGCTGATGGTCCCCGAGCAGGGAGGTGTCCCCACGGGCTGGTGCCACTGGGCTTTGGCCAGCTGAGGGTGGCAGTGATGGTTCCTATGTGGCTCCCCAGCTTTTGCCCCGGGGACACGGGGTTACGGTGCAGCTCTGGGAGGAGAGGAAGAGGAGATGCCGTCCTTCAGCTACCTACCGAGCGGTAAGGAGGTCCCCCGGGGTGGGCAGGGGGTGCGGCAGGGCCTGATCCTTTCCCCTCTGCCTGCAGGCAGGGCACGGACCAGCTGCAGCCGGTGCCAGAAGAACCTCTCCCTCCAGACGGCCGTCAAAGTCCTCTACATCTTCTCCATCCTCCTCATCGTGGCCGTGACCGTGCTGGCTGCCTTGGGTGAGCACAGGATGGGGTGGGAGGTCCGGCTCCTGCCTCCCCTCCTGCCCCCCTGCCTTGGGGCAGCCCCCCAGGGGTTCTGGAGCTCCCCCAAAGCACCCTCAGCACCCAGGCATGGAGAGGAGCATCCAGCTCCCCCGCTCCTGCCCCTGGGATGCACGTGGGACCCTGCGCGTGATGCCACCTCACCAGGGGGGATGGCTTTACCCCCACGGGGACCTCAGGAACCACCCCAGAGTCCGGAGGTTGCCACCCCATCACCTCCATGGGCAAGAAACCACCTCCCAAGCTCAGTGGAGGGACAGCGTGCTCCCCAGGGCTGGACCCCCGGAGATGCTTCATTGACCTTAGCCAACCCCGAACCCCTTGGGCCACCTACTCTGCGGAGCCAGTAGCCACCAGCCACCAGGCCTGGCTCTTCAAGCCCTGGCCCACCCTCCTTGACAGGGAACAAGCTGGGAGGAAAGGTGTGGAGGATGGGGGCATCCTGGTGCCGGCCCACCTCCCCTGACCCCCCCACCTTTCCTCCTCCCCAGTGTTCAAGAAAGTCGACTCCATCTCCAGCGACATCAGCTCAGCCCAGACCTATTATGAGAAGAAGATCGTATCCATCCAGGAGGACCTCCAGGGCTTGGGTGAGTGGCTTGTGCCCGGACCTGGAGGTCTTCTCCAGGCTTTGACCCGGCGTGTCCCTCCAACTGAGCCGACCTGAGCCAGGGGCCGGAGCATCTTCACTTCCCAGGTCCTGGGGCTCCCGCAGAGCCAAACCCCCACTTTCCTCCCAGGATTTTGGGGAGGGATGACTGTACGACCCCGAGGGTGGCATTGGTGGGGTTGGGCTTTTTGGGGAACGGAGGTGGCAGGAGCAGGATGGGGGCGGGAGCTGGTGCAGGCTGGTGGCATCAGGGCTGTCCCAGCCATGGTTCTGCAGTGCCCATCTCCAGGGTCTGCAGGGCTGGACCACGCTGAGGCTCCTTCCTCTGCTCAGAGGGTCTCCAGGCCCAGCGTGAGGGACGGGGTGGGGTAACAGTGCCCTCTGCCCTACGTTCAGATGAGAAGACCTCAGGGAACTGCTCCCTGTGCCACGAGACAGGACAGCTGGGCCAGGAGATCACCAAGCTGCAGGGCGAGCTGGAGGAGATCCAAAAGATGCTTTTGGTTCAAGAAATCCTGCTCGACCGGACCTCCCAGACCCACAACCAGCTCTCGTCCACCAGCAACAAGATCACCAGCGAGGTGGACAACTGCTCCTTCTCCATCCAGCAGGTCAATGAAAGCTTGGGGCAGTTCCTGGCCCAGGTTGGGGGCTGGCAGGTGGTCACCTCCCGGCTGGACAACTCTCTCAAGGGCTTGGCCCAGGAGCGCTACGATGTCCGAGCAGCCATGCAGCAGATGAACTTCACCCTGGGGCAAACCTCCGAGTGGATCCAGGTCATCCAGAGGAAGACGGACGAGGAGACACTGACGCTGCAGAAGATCGTCACCGAGTGGCAGAACTACACCCGCCTCTTCGGCGGGCTGCGGGCCACCTCCTCCAAGACCAGCGAGCTGGTGAAGAGCATCCAAGGCAGCGTTGGTGCAGTGGCTCGGCAGGTCGGGCTGAACTCAGAGAGCATGCATGACCTGGTACTGCAGGTGATGGGGCTGCAGCTGCAGCTGGACAATATCTCCTCCTTCCTGGATGACCACGAGGAGAACATGAACGACTTGCGCTACCACAACAGGTACACGCAGAACCGCACGGCCGAGCGTTTCGAGACCCTGGAAGGTCGCATGACCTCCCACGAGATCGAGATCAGCACCATCTTCGCCAACATCAACGCCACCGACAGCCACGTCCACAGCATGCTGCGCTACCTGGATGACGTGCGGCTCTCCTGCACCCTGGGCTTCCACACCCACGCCGAGGAGCTCTACTACCTGAACAAGTCCCTCAGCCTGGTCCAGGGCACCACAGACCTGCTGCGGGAGCGTTACAGCCTGCTCAGCGCCCGGCTGGACTTTGACATCCGCAACCTGTCCATGGTCATGGAGGAGATGAAGGTGGTGGACACCCGGCACGGGGAGATGCTGAAAAATATCACCATCTTACGAGGTAAGCTGCCTCCTGGTGGGCACAGCCTAAGCCCTGCCCGGGATGGGTTGGGCAGGCAATTTTGGGGGCTTTTGCTTCTGTGGCTGAGCGTGGTGGGGTCTGGGCTCCTTGGGAATGTCCTGCGCCGTGGAGGACCCAAGCCACCATTGCTGAGGCCAAGGCAGCGTTGGGATGTGCACGAAGGCACCCAGACACTTGCCCATGGATGCAGGGGTGTCCTGGGGATGGAGCTGCCTGCACTCGGCTTGCAGAGCTTGTCCCCCTCGTTAGCGAGCCCGGGCCGCTTCTGGGATCTGGTTTTGGGGGGAGCCCCGCGGTGGCCCCATGGCCCCCTGACCCCAGGCTGTGCCAATTGCTCTTGGAGCCCAGAGCAAGCTCTGCAGGGCTGGGGGAGCCAGGCTCAGCTGAACCCAGCCTTAGCAAGGTCTGCAGGTTTGGGGGAGCCAGGCTCAGCTGACCCCAGCCTTAGCAAGGTCTGCAGGTTTGGGGGAGCCAGGCTCAGCTGAACCCAGCCTTAGCAAGGTCTGCAGGTTTGGGGGAGCCAGGCTCAGCTGAACCCAGCCTTAGCAAGGTCTGCAGGTTTGGGGGAGCCAGGCTCAGCTGAACCCAGCCTTAGCAAGGTCTGCAGGTTTGGGGGAGCCAGGCTCAGCTGATCCCGGTCTTAGCAAGGTCTGCAGGTTTGGGGGAGCCAGGCTCAGCTGAACCCAGCCTTAGCAAGGTCCGCAGGTCTGGGGCATCTCCCTCTTTCCCCTTTTGGGGTGCTGCCCCCCTGGTGCTGCCTATTCACCCCCTCCTCTCCCCCCAGGTGTGCCGGGCCTCCCGGGCCCCCGCGGCCTCAAGGGTGATGTGGGCGTCAAGGGCCCCCCCGGGAGCGAAGGAGAGAAGGGCGACGCGG